GTTCTGGATTAGTTTTTTTGGGAAGTCACTTAACGTCAAAACCATCTTATAGGTTAGAAGGCTATGTTGCAGGGGTGTCCCACGCCTCATGTTCGAACTCAACTTAGTCGGCTCGGGGGTAAGGAAAATCGGTGATTGGGGGTGGCGGGCAAGTTCAAATAACCATTTGCAAAATAAAAATTGAGTCTCTCAATTTTTGTTCCTTTATAAAGACGTAGAGCATCGTCGGAGTGGCCGGAGGAGTGTGATAAGGAGGGGGAAGACGACAAGCAAGAGGAGCAAAAACATGACGGGGAGGAAATACGGTTGTGTATCTTCCCATGTTCTAGCGGAACATTCATTCTCATTCTACACATTTGGCCAACAGTGGAGCGAAGCCCAGTAAACGGGAGGAGGAGCGGTCGTCGGAGGAGCGGGAGGCAGAAGGGCGGGATGATGAGCAAAAGGAGGGAAAGGAGGGGGAGGGGGACGATAACGAGCACGTGGCCTAGCGGAAGATTCATTCCTATTTTGCACATTTGGTGAGGAATGGAGTGAAGCCCAGTAAAAGTCAGGATGAGCACGAGGAGGAGTGGTGGGAAGAGGGGGGAGAAGATGATTGGGAAGAGGAAGGGGAGGACTACGAACATAAGAACAAGTGGCTATAAGACGAACCTACCTTTTTTTTGTCATTTTCAAGAGCAGCAGCGGGATGAGGAGAGGGGAAGATATGATCCGGGGGATGAGGAACGAGAGGGAAAAATATGAGTGCATCTTCTCACGTTTTAGCAAAAGATGCACATTTGGTGGGAGAGGGAAAATGAGGGGTGGGATGACTAGTGGGGGAAGAAGGGGAAGGAGGAGGAGGGAAAGGACAACGAACTAGATGATAGCGCGATGAGGAGGGGAAAGACAACAAGTGGGAGGAGGAAAAAATATAGTTGCATATCTTTAATCTAGCAGAAGATTCAATCTTATTTTCCACATTTCCTGAGAAGTAGAGTGATGCCCAATGAATGGGAGGAGTGAGTAGGGGCGAGACTACAACGGGAGGGGAGGGGAAGGAGGAGGAGGGGGAGGACAATAAATAGGAGGACAACAAATGACTACCAACAGGATCGAACTCAAATCTGCATTTCGATAGTTCCTAGCTGAAACCCACGTAACTAATGTGACTGTTGGCATAAGCCAACGAAATAAGGGAAAAAAAAAATAAACAAATGAGAAAAAAAAACAAAAAAAAACGAGAAAAGTAAATACACCGAGTGGCACTTCGCTAACTGCAGGGACCCTGAAAAGAAGGTAACAGAAGGCAGACGTATGTTCATATTTAATAGGTGGACAATGTTTTTTTTTTTTCTTCCTTTTTTCTTTGTTTTTCCCATCTTGTTCCACTTTGGTGTGGTGCTGCATGACTACGCCCGTTCATTTATTATTCGAATAACATTCGGGTCATTTCTCGATTCGTGAGTGTCATCCTCGTGTAGTGGCTATACCCGTTGCGCGGCGGTTTTTGATTGTACGATTTGCAAGATCGCACAACCAGAAATATCACGCAGCTTCATCATCGAACTACAATTGCCTCTCAAAAGGCATTCAAGCAACGATCCCCGTATCCACGGTATATCAAGCTGGTATGTTACCTATTGGGCTAACTCCTTCTGGTAAACCCGGAGCCGCCCTTCTATATGAAAGACTTTTTTCCTAATAAAATGCTTGCTTAAGGCCTAGCAGGCCTTGCCTGCTGGCTCCTTTCCCGTTGACTGGTTGTCCATCCACGACTCGAACGGTTAGCCGACCCGGTAAGCCACAACACCGGTTTCTCGATCCTTGGGGCGAAATTAAACCCCACTGATCAATAATTTAAAAAAATAAATAAATATGCATCTCGTTTTTCCTCCACCACAGCCCCATACCCGGCACAACCATTCCTTTTAGCCTACTTAGGTGCCACATCCTAAAAAAAAAGGTCAAGATTTACTATTTTATTGGCCTCACACCCCTCCGGCCTCGTCATAAATGAAATCGAACTAGTCACACCGCCTATCTTCGCCGTCTAAACAAATCCGAATTTCAGTTTAATAAAAAGCAGTTTTAACCTTTTAATTATGGGTCAGATCGAATAAATTTTTGACAAACGTGTCAGTTTCATCAAGTCAAAAAATTCCACAAACGGTGGTCAGCATTCGCCATTCTAAGTAATGAGTAGATACCTTTGTAACGGTTTTTCCTTTGACAATGTTTTTCTAGACAATGCCAATAAGTTTAACAATAATGCCTCAAGACTCTTCTCTCTCATGAGTTTTTTCTTTGTTTTTTTCTCGTGCATTTGTTTTTTCGGGCCACCAACAATCGTCGACCTCCCCCCAAAAGCGGACTGTGTGACCACAGACACCAAATATTGGCCAGCGAGGGGAGTGGTGGTTTAAAAACAAATAACAAAGACAAAAAAATATACACCTCTGTTTCAATTTTAATTGAAATACACATATAATTTATGTGAAGCATACAAAGAATCCAAACAAATATAAAAGTGATATAGGAGCAATAACTATGTGAAGCATACAAA